TGCAGCGCTTGGGAAGATTTCCAGATGTTTCTGAGATTAATAGAGACAGACGGCAGCACTTACGATACGGTCAGTAACCTATAGGGTGGCATTTTCAGGGACATAGCTAAAAATTCAGTAGGGTCAAGTACTGTTTCAATGCAAAAACAGCTTAGCCAGGTTTGTCTAATTTTCACCTGGGGACACGCATTAAAAGTAAAGGGGGTGCTACAGTACTTTCTAAATTAACAGGCAAATGGTCACCCCAAAAAGGATTATTCAAAACGTGCCAAGAAAATAAAGGGAAGTAAAGTTAGAGATGAAAAGGACAAATCGATGGAAGTGAAAGTATTATGAGGTGCACTAAAAAATGTAGGTTCATGTCTATTTAAGAGGCAAAGGGAGGATGACAGTAAACATCTCCCAACGAAACCACCATGGGAGTCTTGGCGAACACCACCCTACATGGGGTGGTAAGCGCTAAAATCCTTCAAGATTAAAAAAAAAGTTTACGGAAACTGCGCCACAAGTCCATGCAGGTCATGTAAATGCAGTGGAATATTTGGTGGCTGGTAAAGTGAAGCAAGTGTAATAAGGCGGTCAAGAAGAATACAAACTGCCACTATTTTTAGTGAGGTTGAGAGAGGAACTGAAGCACAGGCAATACCGCTCTGCACAACCGCAGCTTCTCCACCAGACGAGTTGGTAGATGATGCACCGTCCTTTTTAAAAACTTGGTGGCGGCGTAGAGCATTTGAGTGCTAAAGATGAGTCTCTAGTAGGCATATTCTCACGAATGACAATTGATGATTCGACGAAAACTGAAACAAACTAAACGTATAATGGGGCGAACTTGCGTCCAAAAACAAAATAGGAAAAGGCTAGCGTCGCAGGCGTCGATGGCGGTGAAACAGCTGGATCGAACGCAGGGGCGAGACTGACTGCGGCTCGCCACGCAGAGTCTCGTATGTACACGCGTTGGCTTCTGGAAGAAATGGCGTAGTAAATTCGGCGCGTAGGACATTCGGACTTCAAAGAAGCCAACAGGGTTCTCGAATTTACCAGAGCATTAAACTGAAAGAATAAATAAAAGACGCGTAACTCCCAGGAATCGAACCCTGGGCCTCCGCACGAAGGTCAAGAGCGGTAACCACTCGGCCACGCTTGCGTGGCCAAGTGGTTACCGCTCTTGCCGACGCGCGTGGCAATATGGCCACAGGTCGAAGCTCATCGAGAAAAAAAGTTTGTCATCAGTATTATAAAAAAAAGCTGCGACAATTCCACTGCATGATAGTACCGTTTTTTTTTTTTTTTTTTTTACCATCTATTGAAAAACATGTATATACAAAAAGTGACCTAAAAAGAAGGGTCGCTAAGGCTTAAAATCTATCTTTACAAGTGGGGTACTCTGTTTCTTAGGAGGATCTTTCTGCCTCCGAGTGGGGTACCTGGTGACAGAAAGAGAAGACTCTGATCCTGAGCCCCCTTTCGTCCATGCCCTCGTCTGTTACCGCCGGCAGCAAGGCCTTAGAGGTCGACTGCTTTGGCGGCTCCCTGAGTTTCCTCTGGGGAGTATAGGTGTGAAGGGGTTGACCTCGGCCCCTGGGGATCAAAGTGCCAGGTAGAGCATGGGGTGTCAGCCCCTGCTCTGGGGTACGTGCTGAGGAGGCCAAATCCACCTGGCGATTCGAAAGCCGTGCCACTGGCACCGCTCCCGAGGACGCAGGAGACCTCGACGGGAGACGCAGATCGTCCGTAGACGTCTGTGTTCCAGTCGAAACCATTGGCAGTACCGGTCCTCTGCGTACGGCCTGGGCGTGAGAGCCTTTGGAAACAAATGCGAAGCGCTTCTTCGCATCAATGTACGAAATGTTTTCAGTAACCTTCAATATGAGGATTTCTTTTTCTTGTTTCCATAACGGGCAAGATCGGGAGTATGCTGGATGCTTACCGTTACAGTTAGCGCACTGAGCTTCGTTCTCACAAACATCAGCGACGTGCTCCTTACTAGAGTATTTGGCGCAGGTCTCGCTACCCCGACAGTTCTATCACCCATGGCCGAAAAAGCACCGCTGAGGGTTCGGCACGTAGGGGCGGACACGGCACTGAAGATACCCTGCCTCTGCTACTTCAGGAATGGAGGTTGACTCAAATGTAAGGATATGTTTGGTTTTGCGTTCAATACCACCGCGGCGAAGGGTAATACGCCGGGAAGCAATTACTCTCTGGGTAGAAAAGCCCTCAACTACTTCGGCTTTTGTAATGTCGAGCAAGTAGTCTCCTGAGATCACCCCTTGAATTCTGTTAAGTGTTCGATAAGTTACGATAGTGAGTTCGTAATCAGGCACGCAGTTGCGTGCTCAGAGTGAATCAGTTAATTGCTTAGTGTGTATCTCTACTAGGAGATCACCGGATGACATCATGTTTGCATTGTAATTTTTTTTCCATTTACTCCTTCGAGAACTTCCGAGACAAGAATAGGAGACAACTTACCAAGCGGTTTATCGCCCTCCGAATGCGTAACAAGAAACTTGGCGAACTATGAAGGTATGTAAAGTTGTTGTTTCAATGAGCAGTGCTACGGCGCGGCCCTTTTCGGAGGCCGATCAAGGAAAGTGTTTTCTTTAGAACCCATAATACACGGGAAGGAGATTCAGTAGCCGGGTGCACCGCCCACCACAGAGCCCAACAAGGGGTTTGATAATGTGCCATAACAAGAAAGGCTTGGCTGACATTTTTCTACTAGTGTTGCCCCGGCGCTACACCCAAGTGTGGTTGCAGAGACAGGTCCTGTTTCCACCAAAGGCTGGCCCTGGCCGCCTAGGAAAGTGAAAAAGGAAAGAAGAGAGTTTAAAAAAAAAGAGGTGGAAGGAAAAGTGAAAAAGAAAGAAAAGAGTAGAAGAGGCGACTGACTAAATCCTCCGGGTCGGGCCGAGCCAGGACACCAGTCTACGAGAAGCAGGGGCCGAAGTGCTATATTGCCTCCCCCGGGGAGCCCGAAGGGTCTAAACATACCCCGGGCTCAGCTCAACCACCAGGATCCATTTTCCCCCGGGTTAAGCCACGTACAGCCTGGTGAGGGTGGGCGAACCCATATGGCTCGGGTTCTGTAATGACGTTACTCACCTACTTAAGTAGGTGTCCCACGAGTGTGGGTGTCGGGGCCCACATGGCTGGGGTCCGTGGTGACGGCACTCACCAAGCACCGTAAACGCACCCTACGCGGCTGTGACCTTTATGACATAGACTTAGCTGCTGTAATCAATCTTTACTTTGAAATGATTCGGGGAATATATTTAATAGGTACCAAAAGATTTGCACAGTTTGGCGGTAGGTTCGGCTCATGGCGCACTCCATAATAAGTTCGTAATATGCTTTGACGCGATTCGGTGGGTTTGACACAGGGTCCGGCATTGCATATCCCTAACGGCCTAAGTAGAAGTTAATCAGGCAGCCAGACCTGATGAATACGCGAGTGAATTAAAACATGCGTGCATAGGAGAAACATTGCCAAGAGGACAGCAGCCTCTTTCGCTGATCAACAACCATGAATGAGTGTTTGGTTTCCCAAGCCAAGGGCAGTGAGGAGCGCGTGTACCTTCAAACTTCCAATATATATATATATATTAATAAAGTCAAAAGAGAAACACAAGTAACACAAGAGAGTGTCTACAAAACAGCTTTCAATCCCTGGCTCTACCTCGCGGAAAATTGGGTTGGGGGATTGAGAATGGAACCATCCGTGCTTTCTGAAGGAGATGAGAGGGAGTGTTCGCGCTCACTTGAAAGCGTGCTCGCGAATTTTCATACCAGAAACCCCTGAACAGTCGATTTCCAAAAATGGTCCATTACGACCGTACCCAAGCATTGGCGTCACATTCTTCCGATGACGGAACCTCAATAGCTTCAAACCAACGGTGTAAAATCCCGATGTCGCCAGCACTTTGCTAGCTGCAAGCGTAACGTAACATTCAAAACCAACTCGTAAAAAACAAAATAAATAACTGACAGGAGGACACATAAAGGCGATCCTACTTTGGGCTATCCATTTGGTCGTTTGTTGGCACTCAGAGACTGCGTTTTGTTCGTGCCTTGTTTCCTGTCCTTTGGTTGGTCGCTTGCCTCCAAGTCTGCAATCGGTTCAGCTTTGCCCCAGAGTCTGACGATCGCTAGTTCCGTGGATTGTTCCGCCGACAATTATTTTCGAACGTTGAAAAACGTAAACAAGATGGTGAGAAATATACTTAAGGTAGAGTAGCAAATACTCTAGACGAAATGCATTTGCAAGATACCGAAATACTACCAAAGGTATTTGAAATACAGTATCTTGAGTAGAGTATTTAAGATGGGCACAAGTCTCGTGACGAGTAGAGATTGTGTCGAAAAAGTGCAGGGCACGGGCACGTGCCCCGCGCTTTTTCCTCAGCGTTTTCTTGGTGTGGTCTTTGATACGTACTTTAGCTTTTTAATAAGTTACATCGCACCGCTATCAAGCCCCTCGTAAAGTTTGGGGCCGTCTGTTCGACTATAGTGCGCTGTACTATGTACGCTGTACGTTTTAGGGCGCATTATATGGGGCAAAAGGGTGTAAGGTGATACCTTTTTTTTTTAGACTGACGGATTGGTCCTGCGTCGGCGTTCGGCAAGGCTCGTCTTCCGATTGGCCACGAGTCCCAGCCGAACGCTCGACGCAGCACTTGTGCTCAATCAGAAGAGCCCCGATTGACCTCCGCTAGGTGGCGCAGAAAATCGAGCACCAATGCCTCGTCGTCTAGGAAGCGTTGTACTAACTCTGTCACAATAAAAGAAAAACTGGACTTACCGAACACTGTGCACCGCCCGTACGCGAGCAGAAGCGTTTCACGTAAAGCCGTAGTCACACCGCTCGTACGTCATACAAAAGACAGGGAGTTTGTCTGCGGACACCCCTCAAGCTTGCTCGAAGCGCGTTTGCTTCGTCGACATATGTAACCGACGTATGAGAAAGGGACGCGCCTCAGACGGAAAAAACAAGACCACAGTGCAGTATGGCAATAGTATATTATCAGTAAACATTGCACTCAAAATTATCAATGTCTGTACAAAGCCCCGCAAGGGGGAAAAAAATGAAACGGCAGTTTTAATGGCACAATCCGCAAACAAAACAAAATTACGAACTTTTCAGAAACTATACAGAGATACATACACCAGGGGCCCTTAACATCGTCACACGCACAAAGTTTGAGCCGAAGCTGGCGCGCGAGCGCCGATCGGACTCTCCAATCAACGCGCTCCGCGAAATTTCGGCTCCAACTTTGCGTTCGACAACTCTTGAAGTCCCGGATGAAAGTTCGCGCTCTCGCGCCGCTCTAGAGGCACCAGCGAGGGGAGTAAAACACTCCGGAAAATACGCTATAATGACAGCAGCACTTTGTTCACGGCAACGGCGGAAGAAAACTGGAAGACTAGTCCAGGCCGTCGGGGTATACAACGGCTCGCGTCCTCCGCTATTCAAGAACGGCATTAGGCGGCACATTATGACCGACGTCTTGCAGACGACAATCTCGAGAGAAGCGTTTCGGAAGACACCATATTTTGAAAGACGTGTTTTCAAGAAGACAATATTCTTTAACAAAAAAAACAACACTGCGGTCCCTTAGTGAAAAAGGGCAACCAGATCTCAGATTTGCAGTCTTGAGACGAACGCCCCAGACGTGATAATACTGTCATAGATTCACAGCACTACTATTGACTGACATGTTTCTACTTGGTAGCGACTAAAGACAACAAAGCTCTTTCGCGCCGCAAGCAAAGCCTTTCTCTGGCGCCCACGGAACTAGTAGAACGACGATTCGCAAGTTGCCTGAAGCCCTAGGGACATCGCGCTTGTAAAGAGCATTCTTAAAAGAAGCATCTTGAAAGGTAGCACACCGAAGGCAATCTCCTGTAAACGATGTCTAACAGACGACACCCTCCAATGAGGAACTTCTTGGAAGACAACGTTTTTATGAAAGACGTTTTGAAGACGACCCTTTTAGACTGCTGTCACCAGGCAAACAGCTGGCCAAATCTATTTGATGATGGATACCCAACTGGCGGAACGACCACCCATCAACGCTGTCTGGCGCTATTGACACGTGTGCTTTTTCGCGCCGACCAGGAATCAAGATATCACGGGGACACGCACATGCTGTTGTCGTGCTATTTGACGAAAGAAAGACTTGGCCAACTGCCAGCCTGGTGGAGAGCCAACAACAATGCAACGTTTTTTTAAAGTGGTATTTCAAAAAATATTAGCACACACTAAGCAACGCCATGAAAGGATGTCTTGAAGATGACATTTGTGAAAAAGTTCCTTAAACATGACACATAAAAAAAAAAAATTTAGAAACGTCCACAGTGTTTCTTCGAAAGACACGGTGCTTGGCAAAATAGCCACCTTGAAGACCAGCTACCATGTACCCCCAGCGTACCAGCTGCAGGCCGTTGGAAGCCGAAAGTCATGCACAATAAACGTTCAGAACACCGACCATTGCAAAGGCTCGTCGTTGGGTCTGCCTTGCATCTGACATTGCAACCCGTTTCTGTCAGACTAGCACTCCAAGAAGTGAGTCTTTGGCATATTTGCTCTTGTTCTTTTGTCGTTGTTTTCTTGTCCGATCGCTGATAGCGCGGGCCACAGCACGGTAAAACTTTTTTGGAGAACAATGGAAGCAGTCTCATCATGTTGAAACCACGGCTGTGGGATCACCCTGGAGCTGAGCATGGCGTCTTCGCAAGTCGGATCGAATGAGAGCTGTAAAACAAAACCGAAAATCGCCTAGCTTAGACACTCCGTCGAATGCAATGATGGTGCTTGATGGGGTTTTTAACTATCAGCATTTTCCATACGAATGATATACAATGTGGCACGTGGCGAAGGAATTCTGAATGTATAAAGGACTTATTCATTCATGAATCTTTTGCTTAGGGGCATTGTATCATTTTCTGGAACGCTGCAGCGTATACAATCTGACCCTGGAATGCCTGCGACCCCACTAGAATATTCTACTAAAACGCAGTTCCAACCTAATGCGCAGCCCCTGTCCCCTCCCAGCGGTGGGGGCGGGGGTAGATAGTAGTATTAGCGCTGCGCTTACCCCCGCCCCCCCCCCCCCTTTCCCCTCTCGCTCCCTCCACACACTACGCGAGGTGCTACGCCATTGATCAAAGGTCAGATATTTTTTTTTTCTAGGAGCTAACAAAGGTCATCTCGCACGCCCCAGCAGAAGACTGAGGATTAATTTCTACCACCGCGGGATCCTTTGACGTGCAGCCGAAATCTCGGTCACACGGCGTCTTGTACGCAATAAGCTTCCGCCAAATTGCGGGTTCCTCGGTCAGGATTCGAACCCACCACCTGGGGATCCGCATGCCTCGGAGGCATCGAGGCGGCGCTACATCATTGATCGCGCGAGGTATGGCATCAAACCAACAGCTGCGCACGGTTGCCAACCCTGTCTCCCATTGCCCTGCTACGGTGCGACCAACACCAGCAACAGCGAGCAAGGCAATCGCGTTGGAAAATGTGTCTCTAGACCCACCGGTGAGCAAGGAGCCAACCAAGAGAGCGCCCGACAGCGCAAGGTTGGTGACCCTGTCCCCGTGGGCGTCGAGGAGCCATGTAGCGGCCAGCGTGAACAGGATGCCGAACACCTGGGCCGACGCGTTCAGCAGCCCGGAAGAAGTGCCTTCGGGTTCGGGGAAGGTCACTTCGGCGGCGAACTCGAAGCCCAGGGGGAGGTAGCCGGTCATGAAGAACCTAAGCAAAGTCGTGAGAGGAAGAAAACAAAAAAAGTTAGGGGAAGGTTTAAAAAACATGCGCCCTTTTCACGCACTATGGTAGCAAAAAAGCAGCGATAACACAGCGAGTGTTTTGTGTGTTGTTTCGCGGTGATATGGCACGGAAGGACGCGCGTTTTTTATCTTGTTGGCGCAAACATCGTCGTGCGTATCGGAAAGAAAGCCCCGCGAAAGCTCTAGCGGAAAAGGAACGCGAAGTTCGCGTCTCTTGCGGTCGTAGCTTTGACCCTGCTATATCGCGACCCTCTCCAAAGCCGCCTGCCTGTTCTCTTCCCTTTCGCCTTCGGTACATTCTTTCACCGCGAGCGCGCTCAACTTAAAGGCAAAGGCCATTACTAACACAATACTGTTTCATTACGATTGACTACGTTGATGTGATTCTACTTGCGACTTCGAAGGTGCAACGTCGAGATCCGCAGTTTCCATCAGACAAGCACTTTTATTTTTGCCACACGGGCGACGTCGCAACTGCGAAAACGCAAGTAAAAACGCATCATGCGCACCAGGCATTACGTCGGGTTCCGAAAGCGAGTCACCGGAACACGTATCAGCGCTTGGCACGAAGCTTTGGCACGCAGCATGCGAGGCACGGGAGTGCCGCTGACTCGAGCTTGATTGAGGCCGTACTGCTCGTATCATGCACTTGGGCCGTGTTCCAAGATATACTGGATCTCACTACAAAGCAAAGGCTTTTGGCGTTCGAACCTTGGCGTTCGAAAACCTACTTGCATCCAGCGTCCCTCTATCTTCTGTTATCACGGGAAATCTCATGACCAGTGAGAGTCCACTCGGATCTATTCGAGTAAAAATTCGAATTATCGCAAGAACTGCTAATTAACTCCAGAAAAAAACAATCCAGTATTTTTCTTTTTTTCATGTATGTTTAAGGTTATGCGACTCTCGTCGTACGTATTCATTCGCGCCTCTAGCGACGGTGTCACGAAGTTCCACAGAAACACATCTACTCAAAGCGGAAACGATCGAGCGGCTCTGTCGTCAGAGCAAAACAGTGGCAGCCACTCCAAGGATGACTGCGCATTTCTCGTTGCTTGGTGCCGGTTCCAACACCCTCCAGCGCAATCGCCTGCCTCGTTCGGATCGACGGCGTTGTTTACCGCAGAGGCGAGGACGCACGCGCCCAACGTGCTATCGGTCCTTGACCGGACGGCGCAACAACATTCTCGTTTAACAACACAGAGACACGTGCTTCCCGATCGCACCGTCTCCGTGCCTACGCGAACGCAAGAACGAGTTTAGATCACCTTGGATATCTCACTCGAGTCGCCGTTCTTGTACTTTCTTGTTTCACGGACCTTGCGCGCGGCGCCAGGCAACACGCATTTCAACAAAAGGGTGTTTATACAAGCCAACGCGCTACTTGCAAACAAGTAGAAACCAGAGCCGCGTGAATCGTTCGCGATGCGCCGTGGCAAAAACACGGAAAGCCGGGCCGCTTTTGCCCACATAGCTACCGCGCATGCGCGGCCTTCCGGCCCTGTTGGTAAACAGAGCCGCTCCGCGTGTCGGTCTATATGCCGCAAATATTTCTCATCTAGCCACGCGTTGGGGTTGGCAGAGCACAGGGCGGGCGCCGAGTTCCACGCATTGTTAACTATTCCCGTCATTGCAGCGCTTGGGCGCGAGCCGCTACCCGAATGCATGGCGAGGCATTGTTTGCCACGAGCCCAAATCGAATGCCTACGCAGTCTTCGTGTGCGCTGTATGAGCAGCATTTAAATATCGTCACAGCGAGGATCGCAAGGCTTCATGACGCACTCACGGAGTTCGCATTGTTGGCATTGTCCCCGCAGCTCCGTCATCAAATTGTGCAAAGCAGAGACCGAGAAAAAAAAATTACGCTTTTATCCTAGGAATTTAGCCGCGACGAAGACGCTTCTTGGTCAAGGGCGTTGCGTTCGAGTATTCTTGGTTCTCACTAGTGCCAGTAAGCTGGTGTAAAGCGAGAAACGTTCCTAACCAATATCGTTGCACAGCCCCTTTAAAATAATCAATAGTGAGCTCTTAATAATGAAACTCATTTGCAAATCTAATAAGTAAGTTCGAAATAATCGATATTGAGTTTTTGATGATAAAACTTGTTTCCTTATATAATGAGTAAATTCGAATGAACAGATACTGGGTTCATAATGAACAAGCTCTATTGCATTCCTAATGAGTAAATTTAATAGAAACGAAATTGAGTTTCTTATGATCAGTCTCAATTGCATTTTCCTGGTGAGTAAATTCAATAAAATCGACATTGAGTTTCTGATTATCAAATTCATTAGACATTGAGTTTATATTGAGTTTCAATTTACTATATAGGAACACAATAAAATGTTAATTGAAACTCATTGATCATTTTTGTCAGGGTTCGAGACCTCCCGCTTGACTCTCAAGTTGTAAAACGTGTGATGTGACCCCACCAAAAAGCGCGGGGGAAATCTGAATGTCGAGCAAGAGCCGTCACTTGCAGTTTTCTCAGTCGCTATTTTAAACTTAGGGTAATAAATAGCGTGCCGAGAAGAGCAAACTCGGTTTTCAGAAAATGTGCTTAATTTAAGTGGCTCTCTCTCTCTCTCAAAAAGAAAAAAAAAAAAAAAAAAACGCCAAAGTTAGTTGCCAGCTTCCAACAGAGGCAGGTTATCCGTCAGAGTCTAATCCCACTGTATCGAGGCAGACCAATTTTCCACTGCCTAAGCGTCTCCTCATTTGCTTTGAGCCCCGCCGTCAATTGTAACGGTCCGTCTAAACTTTCTCACGCGGCGCACTAAGCTAGATACTACGTGATAATCCTCAAACTCCAGAATGCTTAGGGTTTGAGGCAGTAGACACGTAAATCGCAGCCTTCGCAAATTACTACCATCGGTGGACGCGACAGAAATGAAAACAAAACATAGCGCGGGCGGACATGTTCTGAGAAATTAATAGGGAGATAGGTCCCGCAATTTTCTCACAACTATCCGACGCAGACGTTTTTGGATTTGTTGCCACGTTCCCTTTCATAGACCTTCGCGTCGCTTATCAACCGGGCGAAAAACATGCCGAGTCACTGAGCAGCGGACGTACGCGCAGGGTGTAATATACCGCACAGTGGAGCAACAGCGCACGCTCAGAAGTCGTTCCACAGCCCAGCAGACAAAGATGGCAGCGCGCAGAAGGCGATTTTTGGAGAGCACGTCGTCTGCTTCTTGTGCAGGGGTAGCGGTGACGTCAGAACGAAGCCCAGCTCTGATTGGCTTTGGTTGGAAGAATAGTGGGTAGACCTCAAGGCATATAGCATTGAGGTCTACCCACTATTTCTGCTGGGCGTTTTGACGTCATCGCAAACCCTATGGAAGAAGCAGACGAACTTGCGCTTTGCACGCGTTTCAAGCTGAGACCACGATCCGAACGAGCCAATCAAGCGGCGCCAAAAATGTGCATCGTCACGGCGCTCCTCGTTTTTGTGCGTTTGCATCAACTAAACTAGTGACGCTCAAAAAAGAAAAAAAAAAGCGCAGATTTATTGTGCGCGATTGGTTTCGCCGGTGATATAGCAAACGCACAAAGACGGGCGTTTTCTAGTACAGCTCAAAAAACGGAAACGGGCAAAAAAAAAAAAAAAAACGCATTCGACGGATACGCAGAAATAATCTAACAAGGACACCATTTACCTAATGCCGGCACAAGCTGTAATACAGTCGGGTCATAAAGAGTAGTGATGCGAGTATTTCCGCTTACACACGCCTGTTTTCTTTTTCTTTTTTTAAGGTAATAAAAAGTTGTTATGTGGGTTTGTAGTTTTTTTTTCGCTTTCTTTATCGAATGTGCATTCCTTGAAGCGACAGTCGCACCACTTATTGGAAACCATTAAAAAATGTATCAGAACTAAGTTCAATTTGCAATGGTAGAGAAGATATGGCAGTTCAATTAGGTTCGTCATCATTAGGCCATAGAGTCATATAAATTAAAACCCTACGTCGTACGCAAGGATACAATCGTACTGGATAACTCGTTAAGATTGGCATTCAAACACGCTGCAAACTATCCAATAATTCCACTTATGAAGGCGAGACGCCTACAAAACTCTCTTGTGTAAACCAAGTCACTTTATTTATTTTCTTTTATATTTTTTTTTTACGCCGTGTTTAAAGGTATGTCGGACATGTCCGGGCTGCGGAGTCTAAAGGTACGTCAAACGTACCCGGAACGTTCAGTCTAAAGATACGTCGGACATATTGTAAGCCCCCCCCCCCCCCCCCCCCCCCCCCCCCCAATTCTGTACAAGATATTAGAGATCGGACACATGCGATGTCTGCTCTCCATCAGGGCTGAGCGACCGAAACGTCGCTTGTTTCCTTTCCCCTTCCCTTTCCACGTCTTATCCACGCTTTTAGTTTTGTGCCCCCTTTCGTGCCAGCAGCACACCACCTCTTAGTCCTTGGCACTCGGTTTTGTCATCAGTTGATAGATGGCGGCACACAACGGCACTTGCGCTACCGTGTAGGCGCGTTAAAACAGTCACAAGTAAGGAGTTGAGTGTTCTGTTTCCGTTTCGTCGCTGTTCGTTCGACTCCGTCGTCTGACTTGCAAGCGCGCCTCTTTTTTTGTTTACATGGTTTAGTTCATTTGTTCAGGCGTACAGAACTTTTTCTGCCCACCACGAGTGCGAAGAGGACTTTGCCCACAGTGAAGCTAAAGCGAACGGTGATCACGTACGCGAAAGACAACGGGAACCAAGGCACTGGAGAGCATCTGAGACCCCGTGTTATACGGTGGAGAAGACAGCAGGAGTAGGCATTCAAGTGCGTCGCGACCCGTAAAAAGTGTACGGGACCGCGCAATGGTGCAAAGGTCGACATCCGGAACTCCAGAAGAAAATTCGCGAGTTTGCATGCAGCTAATTGGACGGGGTTACCGAGGACTCGTCGAGTCGTAGTGGGAGCAACTGGTTGACCGTGGTGCGCGGCGAGCCAG